AATGGGAATAATGGAAGGGGGTTAGGCATGTTAGTGCAAATGTCACCTATCAATGTGTGCAGTTAAATGTGTGAGTGTTTTGTTTTTATTTGTATGCATGTATTAGCTTGCATCTCTTACCACCCCGCAACCTCCCCTGAGAAGTCAATTTTCCAAGAACAAAAGCCTGCTTTAATAAAGACTAAAATAAAGCAACAAACATTTACCCAAAATCAAACTTTTTTTTCTTAAGCTTTTATGCTCACGGCCTATCTAAGGCATGTGTGATTTTTAGGAGAGTAAAAATGATTTAAAAAAATGCTGGTTGCTTATTCTCAGCATGCAGCGAGACACAGACATAGACATATGGCAAGTCTACGGTGGCCGCATCTGTGGTGTGATGTGGGGAGAGAGTGTCAAGAACATGGATGCACTGGTCCATGGCAGTGTGCTTAGTGACACATAATACTGGTATTGCACAATCTTCCCCTGACCCATTTTTGTGTGACACACACTGAAGTCAATTTTCTGCACTTTTCATGCACGGAAGAAGAAGAAAAAAACCCAAACATTTTGCTACTCACTTTGGTGGAAGCCGATACTCTCAAGCCTACCCTTTCAAATTTGAAGAGAACACTTCAGAAAGAATCAGTTGGTAAGTTTTTTTTCTCTCCTATCTTCTTCACTGTTGCGCTTGGCTGCCTCGTCGTCAATACAGGGGTCAGGTGCTGCTGGTACTCTCACTCAGAAACCAAGAAATGTAGACCCCTCCACAGAAACATACACCTAAATGACAAGTATATGGTATAGGTGCCACCTCACACTCAGCACATTCTACAGGAAAAGTGTGGAAAAAGAGAGTTGGGGAGTGAAAGTGGTAGAGATAGGGCTGGAGAGGGCATTGGGGGAGGGTAGGAAGAAGAAGAGAGCACAAGTGAATGAGAGACAAAGAGAAGCTGGATCTTTTTTTCCTAGAAATTTTTAATTGGCTTTTGGGCTTCAGTAGCACCCAATTAGCATGCTTGTTATATGCGAACACCAGGAGCTAATTGGCCTGAGAGGAGAAAGTGGCGTGGCCCTGAAAGGAGAGAGCAGGATTCATTTGAAGGTTCACAGCTCCAATAGCCCCATGTTGGGAGGCTATTTGGCAAACACTTGTAAATAACATTTTGGTGCTGAAGTTGCAAATATTATTAATATGTTCTTGCTGTCTTTATTGCCAGATGGTGTTACAAAAAATGAAAATACAATGATTGCCATAAAGTTTACAGGCAATCAAAGAAAAGCATTTGACTCCTCCCCCCCCCCGTCATTTTAACAACTTACCTGTAGCTACACAAATTGTCTTAAAGTAGAAAGGAAATGTTCATGCACATAAACTACTATTTGCCCCAGGAATTAATCAGATCCGGGGAGAGATCATTCACAGGCATGACCTAACCTGTCCACATACAGTATGATGCTGCCCTACATCGGGGAATATGCTGAATACGCATGTGAACACAACAGCACCATGAACTCACCAAGGGCAAGAGGCTGAATCTCTGATTACATTTACTGTACAAACTGTAGCAGCAGGATCGGATGAACAGGACATCAAGAGCTCATTATGCTCTTTACATGCAATTAATCAAACAATGTAAACAAAGCTCGCTTCAGCCACAACAGACAGAGCTAGATCCCCTGATGGCAATTCAAATGCGGAACACACAGTACAAGACTTAGTAAATGAAAAGGAAAGGAATGTGAATTATGGAAAATTTAAGATTCACAGCCAATCTGGAGATGATGTAAGAGTCGTAGCTTCCTGCTGAGACCACACAAATATCACTGCCTCTTCTCACAGTTAAGCCTATAGTCTCCTCTTTTTGTGAAATGCACACAGTGTGTTAATGTGAAAATATCTTCACTGTGAGGAAAAGAGAGACAAATGTGCTGTGGAACAAATCAGCATTCTGACTGAGATACTTATATGGTTTGGCATGTACATGTTCCTTTCGACTGTGATGATCTGGGCTCAGTTCATGAAGATAAGATTTGTACCACCTAAGTTAAAAATCCTTGGTAAAAAATGTAACCCTGAACCTTTTAAGGCATAATCAGTTATGCCCATGTAAAAATATTGTTTCTATTGAAATTCACAACTTTATGCAGACAGTCACACTGGAAGAGGAGGTAATTAGCTATTTTGTACCCTCAAATTAATACTGATAAACTATAATTTCTGTCTGGTTTTAGTGTTGCAAAATTAAATTATTTTACATTAGTTGTGCTAACTAGCTACCTAGACTTTCTATGTTAGCTACTTTTGAGCAATTACAGCAATACTGTTTTATGACATTACTAGTCATGGACAAATAATACAGATGTAAAATAATACAAATAATCAAGTTATTTTATATCAAAGTCCACAGCTTCTGCCATACCTGCTCCATCACCTGACTGAACATCCCAACCTGTAGCCCATGTCAATCCAAAATGAATGATACCTAAGACTTCATAGTACTTTAACTTAGTCTGCTGTCTCTGTGTCTCAACTAACCACACTTCAGCAGACCCTAATGTAGCAGACAGACAACAAAACTGAAAACATGGGACTAGAATAGCTCTTACCACCTCTGCTCCCTGCCCAGTAGAAATCATCTTTCCTTCTGATAAATGCCAGATGGAGAATAAGGCAGGCCATGCTCACAATGCTCGGCTTTGTCAGCCGCATCTGTAGGCCCCTTTTGTAGAAACCCTTTTTACAATGCTATACTCTGGATCAAACCTGGAAGTTAAGTCCAGCATTCTCTGTGCTCTGGAGCTTTGTCGGAAAGTACACTGACTTTAAGTTCTAAGTGAGTTCTAAGACAAGGACTTCATTCAGGTAATGTTGGTTGAAAGCAAACCAAATGGATCCTCATGCACATATAGGGAAAAGGATTAACACAGAAGAAATATGCTGACGACTGTCAGAGCTCTTTTAAAGCTAACACATACTCTAATTTGCATTTAACCTAGACATGACATACGACATAACTGAGCATATATATTGCAAATGTGATTTCTGCTTCACATTCATTTTTCACTATTATTTCCTTCACCCAACCAACAACAACATTTAATTTTAATTTTGTTTTATGGATCATCTTGTGAGAGTAAGACTTGATATTTTTTTAAATGCCAGATGTCTCATTGGAACAAAATTTGTATTTAGGTTTCCTGACAGTCACACAGCCACAACCGGACTGCACAATCATGTCTGCAACGCTGTGTGGAGAAGCCACTGAGAGGGCAGCATTATACGACAGAGCATCTCAAACCACCCGGCCTTGACAATGACAATGAGGCTGGTCCAGAAGTGTCACCTCTCTCAGTCTTTGTCTGTCTCTGTCTCCCTCTAACTCTGCTTGTTTTCTCTCTCTCTCACCCTCTCTGTGTCTCATACACGCATCAACATACACACACACAGACACACACACACACACACGGAAAGACAGAACATCTTTATTAGCCCTCTGTATGCAGGCTGTGCTCAGCCTGAGATTGCAGGACTGACCCCTCGCTGTGAGCTGTACAGGGGAAATGTTTACCCAAGCCCCACAGAACATGCCATTAACCTCTTTCTAGATAGAAGACAAACAAGAATGTTCCTCCACGAGGGCAATAAAGACAGGAACACCTATCCAGGACCATCATGACAATCATCTCATTATGAAGCTGCGGGAGGCAGTAACGAGCCAGGGAGCCCGGTCTCTCAGGGACTCTTTCGCCGCAGTGTACCAGTGTGCCTAACATTCAGTGACGTACCTATGAAATGCAGTGAAATGCAAACAACTGATTAACCCAACAGTTAGGAACAATATAACTGCCCCTCCCCCGAACAATCGGCCACCTTTGCCCCTTTTCAAACTGACCCCTATCCCTACTTTATTCCTCTTCTACTTCCTGTTTCTTCTCTCCTATCTCCTTCTGTCTCTTTGTAGGTATCTCCCTCCCTGGAGATTTTGATGGATATCCTGAGGCTCTGATTAAAGCCCCTATCTGAGAGGGTGTCTTGGTATGTGGTGAAAGGGAAAGGGGGGTGGAGGGGGCAGTGAGAAGCCTGGGCACTAGAGCAGCTTTTCCTTCTTAGGGACCCGAGGGCATAATTCAATCACACCTCGATAATTCCCCTGATGTGAGAGTCGAATCCCCCTCACACACATCAAGTTCAGATAGACACCACAAGCTCACGCTCATCCCAGATTGAGGGTCTCCTCCTGGGTGGGCTTAAGAGCCCACTACTGGGTACGTTTTACCTGTGTCGTTTGAAGAGGCCATTATTTTAATTGAAAAAGTTACCCGCCCGCCAAAGGCAAAACGATAGATGGGGGGAAAAAAACAGGGGAGAGAATTAAAACAAAAACACCAGATGGTGATATACATGGTAAAAATGATTGTTTATACTTACTGTTTGATTATATGTGATAATGAGAGTGGAATTCCTCAAGGCAATTAGTGTCTCGGCAGCCATATTGTGAGAGGACAGGGGAAGGACAGCACGGGCTGTTATGAAGGAGCGCTTATCAAATATCTCCGCCGGGGTGATTAGTGTAATAAGACACTGCAAGGTGAGATAGGCCACTCACGCTCTTTTAGTATGTCTGCTTGTGTGTGTGTGTGTGTGTGTGTGTGTGTGTGTGTGTGTGTGTGTGTGTGTGTGTGTGTGTGTGTGTGTGTGTGTGTGTGTTTGTGTAGGTGAGTGAGCAAGAAAGGCAGTCTGTGAGAGTGAGCAAGAAAAAGAGGCTGAGAGGGAGTCTGAGAAAGTATGAGTGACTCGTTCCATCTGTTTCCATATCTGTGTGTGTGTGTGTGTGTGTGTGTGTGTGCACGCCTTAATGTGTGTCTTAATGTATACTATGTCCCCATGTGCCTCGGCGTGTGTGTGCATGTGTGTGCAAGTGTGATATAATTCCTATGTTAATGTAGGTTCCCATGCCAGGCTGTCTGCCCCAGGGGCTTTAGCCTATGACAGAGGGCAGATCGGGGGCACTTACCCCTGGCAGAGTCTTCTGTTCATGGAGGGCGCTCTGGGCCTTCAGTGCTGACTCTCTGGCACAGTATGTTAGAAAGGCACATCCTACAGTATCAGGGAGACAGGAGAGAGATAGGCTTATTCCACCAGACAATGGCTCAACAGCTACACACCACCATTTATAATGAAAAGAAGAAAAGGTGTTACAGTGACAGAGAATGTAGGGCTACGTTTAAGGGTAAATGTATGGTGTGTTGTGCTTTTTAAGTAGTCTTAAGGGCTTTATGATAGACCACAAGACATGAAATCCAAAATATAGAAAGTCATATCTATGTCAGTATGATCTAGTGATTTCAGCATTTAGTACGCATTAAATACAATGTCTAAAATGTCTACAAAATACTGATTGTAAAAGGTAAGAGCACAAGCCATATAGCAGATTAAATATAGATAAACTTTCTCCATCATCTTTATGTAAGCCCATTTAGACTGCACAAAGTGAACTCTCAAACACAGATTTAGATTTTCATTGGATAGCTCTACCATGAAAGTACATTCTAAATGCACCATGTGAAGCCAGCCTAACACCTCTCCATCAGTGTTTGTTCGGAGATTGAGTATTCCTACAGTCGACTTCCCAAACACCACATTGTAACCTTCCAAATGGACCCAGAGATTTGTGATTTCACTAGAGTAATTCCAATCTACGCAAGCCATAATATAAGATTTACTGGAGTTTTACAAGCTATTGCCAAAAACATGTATTATATTAAAATGGAATTCATATACTCCGCTGACAATTGGAATGTGGCTCTCTGAAGTTAATAGCTCTATACCCTCAGAGAAAATAACACACTGGTTCAGAAATAAGATTCCAATTTTACATATTTTTTCAAAATATGACAACCGCTTCAGATTAGAATTACTGAACTCATGCATATGTTCACTGTTTATGAGAATAACAAGTTTGCTACATTGTTGTCTGCCCTCATTCAGTTTAATATAGCAAAATAGACTAAGCAAAATAAAACAGAAAAAATGTTAAACATACAAGTGTCAAAACTTATGCACTCCTGGAGGTCAAGTTTAAAGGGAGTGGTGATGGAAAATGCTTAGTCACCACAGATAGGGTGTAATTTTTTTTAGCTACTAAAAAATAAGCATAGTGCTTTCTGATGAATGAACACTTTCACAGTTATTGAACCAGGCACAGGAGGAAAAAGTCAAACAGTATGCATATTTTTTTAGCTGCCAAGTAATCAAAATCCTTTGGTGATGAGCTGAAACTGTACCCTCATACATCTCTGGAGACTTTTCTTGAAGTTGGAAAACTCAGGAAAATGATATGAATATGCATCAGTAAATAAGTCCCTAACAAAAATGTGACAGCTTTCATTAAAGGGTGAGTGCTTGCTCTGTTACGCGCTTGGCAGAGCTGACAGTGGGTGACCCCGTTCAGAAGAGGTTTTGCACTGTGCAGCATAATTTCCCATTACTACATGTCACACCTGCTGCCAAGGATTCCCAAGGGAGAAAAGAGATACACACACACAGTCACACACACACTCACACGTACAGATGATACCCGGCATGCAGCACATAGCACCCATCAGCCCCGAAACCCAGCAACCCACTCTGGCGCCCGGCCAAGAGAGCTCCCTTTCACGACAACCTTCACCCACCTCCACAACTAGGCAGTTACTCAAGAGGAAAAATCACCTAAACGACACTGATGAAACAGCATGCCACATAGCAAAGCAGAAAAGTTTGGGAGCCTGGGGAAACACTCTTCATCCTTTGTGACATTACAAAACTGTGGGACATGAGCCGAGGCCTCCCGGGGGGCATGTCCTAGCAAAGGCTTATGGGAATTGTAGGTTTTGGTATTTTTCACTGTGCCACTTTGCTGCATATTGCCCAGACGTTTAGTATACACATTGACAAGATTTCTTGCAGGACTTACTGTAGCACGAGTTTAAAAATATCTCATCAAACTCTTTGAGCAGTAATAGTGTTTTTTTTTCTTGATAGAGTTTACCAGTAAAGTTTTAATTAACCATTGTCCTTTCGGAAAGGTAACTTTGGACTCCCACGTCCATCGATGAAACATACACTGCAAGTGTTTATCATCAACAACATGCCATTGAAACAATCACACTTTGGGGTCGAATGCATATTTTTTTATTTCATAAAACATTTTCATTTTTTATATTTTCACTTTTCTACCTTTTCTTTCCTCTTCAAAATGTATTTAATTTCCAGCGTAGTACGTTTACACACATTTTGTACTTACAGTTTTGAGGTTCTTGCAGTTTTTCCATTTAAAGCTACATTACACACGACATTTATTTTATAACTAGTTACTAGTTACTTCAGATTAAGATCTCCCATTGCTGTCCAGTATTTCCAGGAGCATGTTAAAGGAAAGTGAAGCAGCATCTGAAACAATTGAAGCGATCTCCCGCCCCTGCAGATTTGTCAAATTACTTGTTAAACTGGACTTTTTGTGCCACGTAGCCTTTAATATTCAGGCCAGCTGTGTGGCTGCCTGAGCTTCCTTGCGGTGGTGGAAAATTGGCAGGACTTTAGCAAAGCTTCACATCCAACAGTGCAGGCTCAGGGGACATCTTAAGCCCAAAGGAGTCCGTGATTGAGGAAGCCAGTTGTGGAACAGATGAGCATTCAGCTTGGAGAGCATGAGGAGAGGTGCAATGATACTGTTTGGGGGGGGGTTAACAAGGATGTAGCAGCTGGTAGCAGGTTAGAGCTGTCAACTTAAAATGTAAGTTGACTAATTGGCATGGGATTACATTCATACTTATATGGTATGTCACATTGTTGACATCATGTAAATGGGCCTTTCAAAAACATACTACTTTCATTGGTCTGTTTGGTAATGCTGATTACCGCAGTATTGTGCAATTCAAATGTTTGAAAAAGAATAACATGAAAATACACTGGTTTGGTGTTTCACATTGCTATTATGGTGTGGGTGCTTAAGATGAACAGTATTCATTTTCAGCAAATAACTCAGATAACCTTAAACCACTTGTGAATTCAAGTTTGAATGAAGCAAATATTAACCAAAGACCTGAGGAAATAAGTAGCATGCGCTGAATGGGAAGGAGAACGGACAAGGTTTTGAAATAAAGGGTAAACTCTGGTGGTGGTTCAACAGAAGGACTGGTGGCTTCCTGTGATGAGCAGGTTAAGTGGGGTGAAAATAATACTTTGGTAATCAAAGACAATTTACCACACTATAATTTCAGTGAGGGACAAAAGTTCAACAAAATATATTAAAAGCAAATGAAAAAGTAAACCCTGCAAACTAGTTCAAAGAGAAAGCAGGAAATGTGAAATGTGCCTTTGCATTTGCTAGACACGTTCTGGGTAATTACTTAAAGAACTTCCCCCCTGTAATGCTTCTTCCAACAGTTTGTTTTTAAATGGAAATTAGTATGTGCTCGCAAGTCACAATTGCATGCATCCAGGCATTAAAAGTAAATTGTGCTTTTTTAAAGCATCAGATACCTGTAATTGAAATAACTCCAGAACAAATTTGTATAAAATTTCAATTCATTAGCAACAAATTCATGAATCATGAGCAATTTGGTCTCCTTCAGTCTCCTCACATGTCTGATCCAAGAATGTTCATTAAAGTGGGAAAAGAATGCAAATTAATTTACAAAAAAAGATCTAGGCACAAAAAAAAAGTAAAATATGTAAAACAACTGGATGCTGCTGAATATGACAGCCTGACCCTCTCATGGGCACTGAGACAAATATGTGTGAGAATTCATCCACCGCTTCATTTTTCCGTGTTAACCACACTATTACCTGCGGAGCGTCTTCCTATCTTTCAGTCGTTCCATCCATCTACATTGGGACCGTTAGCTGTCTGGTTTACACATGGCCCCCTTTCTAATGATCAAAGAGGTCATCTGTAGACTTAAGCTGCACCTGTCACTCAACTTACACAAACTGTCAATCACTGTCCAACACTTTCTCTAGATACAGCCCAATACAAGCATGGATCTGTAACTCCTAGTGGCCATTACTAAGAGTCTCAAAACTAAAAAGCAACGTAATTGAATTCCACACAAAACTGTCTACGAACCAAAAAAGACGCTTTCAAGGATTTGTTGTTACATTCTATGAGTAATTTGCAATTAGATATTAGTGCCCTACTGTGGTTTACTTTTGACATTTTAATGCCTGAGAGGGGTTTTTATGTCAATTTGGCAGGCTATTTATAGCCAATTACACTGCATGGACCTACCGAGGAGAGGAGAATGGATGAGGATATTTAACAACTCTTTGTATCTCTTCCTCCTGGCTGTGTGGTGCAGCTCAGAGTCCCTTCTCTCAGCATCAGAGACGGATTGATAGATAACGCTACTCAAGCAAAAGATTTGCCCCCCACTAACATTCAGCATGTCTGAACAATGCATGCGTTCTGGCACTGACACTAAGTATTATGATAATGTAGTGCTCAGCGAAATGATGGATGTTAAACAGCACGACCTGGCTGCACCACACACTGACGAGCACCATGCCCGCCAATAGTGTCAAGTCATCCCACGCGTTCTATAAGACTCCCTGATGACACACAAACTATCAAACCGACATTAAAAGCAACAGTGTCTAACAACTATAAAGCAGGATATAATCGTCTGTTAAAAGAAACTGATGAAAAAACAAATAGACATCAGCATACAGCTACACTAATCCACTGTACAGGAAAATACACAATATAAAATTCCCCTGATATTCAAAGTAAGTCCCTGGAGATACCCTAAATGCCCAAAGTAAGAATTCTCAAAGCACAAAACATCTGTTCAAACCGATGCAGTACAATCCACATGAATTAGTCATGAGCAAACATGACATATTTTGATCTGCCCTTAAATCCATAATTATGGTGCAATTCTGTGTCACAGGACTCAGGCTGTGAAAGGTAGTGCTGCAAATCATCCATTAGGTACGGTTTACTAACTGATGCCAACAGCCATATACATCATCTATCCGAAACAAATCAAATCTTTCTCAACCACAAACTGAGCTCAAAGAGGGATTTCAAAGTAGTAGTCAGACTAAATTTATGGCACTGCACTAAATCTTTATGAACTTTATGTTTTTTGGGATTATGGAGCCAAGCTGATTATATCCTCCCCCACTCTTCTGTTGCTCTGCTGTTAAAAATGTTGCTTGAATTTGTGACAATGTTACAATATTGGGAGCCACCTGTGCATTTGACATAATATGCCAATGGTTACTGGCATTTTGTGAACTAAATAGAGCACAAACTAAATTTTAAACCACCGTTTGATACATATACTGTGGTAAAAAGATTATTGCAAAACCTTATATTGTATAGAGGCAGCGGAAATGACTCAACCTCTGTACTAGTACATTGTTGATGATAGCTACAACACTAGTCTGTGTAGATGAATCCCATTCATCCAGGTAGTACAACACCAGGTTGAAATGAAACTATCCAAGGACTGTTAGTTGTAAAGATCTGTGAAGTTGTGAAGCTGTTTCAACACTCAGCCAAGGGATTGCTACTGGGTTGCATTGTCATCTATCAGCTACCCTCATGTGACATCAGGATGATTTGAACAACAACGGTTAAATGGCCTCATCACCAACCAGTAACATGAATAGCATAACGTCTTCAACTATAAAACTACAGTCCAATTGTTAATTTTATTTCAGCCCATGCTATTAGACTTGTACAGTAGGTTTGTTTTTGTCCAATTGGTATTACTATATCAGTGTGATGGACCACCAATAAAACCAAAATCACTTCACTGTTTAGAGATCTTCAAATCTAATCTAACAGTTTTTATTTGGTCCTTGATAGCATCGAAACTGTGAACACAACACAGACATATTATCACTCTTGTTATATTGTTGTTATAATAAGTTGTTTTGTCAAACATTAGCAGTAATTTTGAGTTTCTGGGCAGCTCATAACTGTCCAATATTCACTCTCATTTTAGCTATGTTTTCTCCACTTTCTCCTGAGGTAAATCTTTGGATCTTTAGCTGTTAAATGCTATATTACTTTCAACAGCTAGTCACTAACTTTGTCTGTAGGTCACTTACAGTTGAGCAAGTAGCGTATAGTTGGTTTTTAGAGTTATTGCACTGAAGACAGCTGCCTGCTGTAGCTAAAATCAACACTATGAGAGCGGAGAGAATGAAGCAAAACAGCATATTTGCAGGCCAGAAAACAAAAACAGTAAGCTGAAAGATGCTAAAAAGCTCCATAGAGCTGAGGGGAACTGCAGGGTCAGGTGATAATTCTCTGTGGGTTCATCACTGCGTGTGACCATTTTAACAAGCACGTACTCATGTGATCCACTGTTAATATAAGAATTATTATAGATGCTTTAAACTAGAGATATCTATGTTCAACAAACTCATTGTAACCTTTAACTTAATGATTTTGAGTGTTGCGCCTTAATCCAACTAGTAATTGTAACAAGTCATGGTCCAATCACAATGAAACTGTTCCATGCCGCTTTAATGTCTGAATATCTTAAACCTAAATGTATTTGTTTGCAAAATGATCCTAAAAAAAAACTTTTACATAAATATAAAATTCACTGTCAAGTTTAATTTCAGCAGATAAATGCGGAGGAAAATGTTTAACAGTATAGCAGACCCAGTTTTCTTATATAATAACAATATTAATGATGATAATAATAATTATTATTATTATATTTTGTTCCATGTTATTAATTAGTACTTATGTACAACTTTAATAATTTAATGTACAGTGTTTTCTGAAACAATTACATTTCATATTGGTTAAGTTTGTATGATACGGTTAAAGCTCTGGACAAAAGCCAGTACTGTGGGCCTTGAGATGGATGACCTTAGTATGTTGTTTACAACAAACCTAGTGTAGTATTTTGAAGGACTTTTACAGTTAAGTAAGTGATTCATTTTGCCGTCAGTTCACCTACAAAAGTTTTTCTCTTTTTCAGAATGGGCTTTCAGTCAGTGTTTTAAATTGCTGTCCTTGAGTTACGCAGCTAATGATACACTATACCTACTCCTGTTTTGTTAACGACACTAATCCCATTTTCTTGCTCTTGTACTTTCTTGCTTCAGTCCACAGGTATCACACATTGACGCAGCAGGAGGCATGAACATGGTTTAGGTGAGTGGCCAATAAGAAAAACTCATCCATATAATGCATTGGTGAAATCTTATTAAAAGTGCACGCTAGTGCTCCCAAAGTGACTTTGAATGTCATGCGGGATGAAGTGGGCATAATGCATACATCAGAGTGGCCTTGCTGGAGGATGATTTGAACGGACATACAGTCTGGCTTTGGAACAGGATTATCCTTCCCGAGGCAACCATCCTCCAGAGTGTTGACATTCAGGGATGGTCGAGGACAGGCGTAAACAACATGAACATCAGAAATATTGTTTTAATCGATCATTGGGCTCCAAAGAGGAACGCTGGAAAGAGGGGGAGCAGGTTGAGCAACAGCGACTGATGGCTAGGGGAACAGGTGGTGCATGGAGACCTTCAGGGCTGCACACACAAGAAAGCAATGCTGAACCCACACTCATTTTTCCCACAAGAGCGCTTGACTTGTGCTGATCAATAAGATCATGAACTGTAGCCACTGACTTACATATCATACATAATTTCCCTGCCGTGTGAATAGGTTATTTTTACTGTGAGTGAAGTGATTGTGAATTCAGTGCTATGTGTGTGAAGAGTTGTGTGTGTGTGTGTGTGTGTGTGTGTGTGTGTGTGTGTGTGTGTGTGTGTGTGTGTGTGCATGTGTGTACATGTATGCTTGCCTTTGTGATTTAAAATGATAGCTTAATTTAAACATAATTAATAACTATCTACAAAATAGTATCAATCACAAACAGCAGTGGCACTGTCATAATAATAATGTTCTATATATCACTGTCATTTAGCTGATAATAAACCATAGGCTCTATACAGTCTGCTTATGATGACACGGATAGTAAGTGGTACCTTATTTTGGATTTTCATTCAAATAAAATGAACGTTTAAAACATTACAAAATAAAGTCTAAACAATTCACAAATAATAATAATAATAACTTCTGATTACGCTTGGATAATTATTAGATTTACATTAGCCACAATAGAATAAGATAAAACACTAATGGGAAGATTAGTGCAATCAATTCAAAGCTTGAAATAAAATATAAACATCTAATTGCAAATATGGCCACTGCCTTTAAAATTTTTTTATAATAACATTGAAATTCTCATCTATTACATATCTTTCTATATTAAATGTACATATATAGGAGTCGTGCATATAGCAGTGAGTTGTGTTTAAACCAGACTTGGACTTTCAATTTTAGACTTGGACATGATGTTTGCTCTCTTTTTTTTTGTAACTGAAAGACCCTCCAACCCTAACCGCACTCAGGCATTCATTATTATAACTATCATTAGAAGTGATCGATCCCTGATTCCCCGTGGCCTGACTAATTATAAGTGAATACTGATCCCGCTCCTTTTGGACAATGAGGGGGGACGAGAAGAGGGAGGGCGAAGGGGTGAGAACAGAACAAGAGAGAAGACGATGCATGCTGGATCTCAGCCTCTACTATTATCCTGCTTTGTACTTCCTGACTGCAAACCGCCCACGGAGCAGCAAAACAATACAGCTGCCATGTAAATAGTATTTTCCGCAGCTAATGACGTCCGAAAAGTAGGCTCCATAATAGCCCGCTGAAAGGTCAAAGCAGCATGCCAGCACCACCTTAATCACCGATGCTGATTGCCTGATAATGGTTTGCATGTTCCGATCTCCCTGAAAGCATTTATTTTTCTCCGACAATGTGCAGCAAATGGACTCTGTGATGTGATTTATTTTATTATTATTATTATTATTTTTTTAGTTGTGAAGAAATTTCTGCAGCTGCAGAAATAACACAGCATCGAGCGCTTGCCTGTCCCGCCCCCTTAACTGGAATGCTCAGCACATGAGAGTCAATGTAAACACACAAAGGCGTTTTCAGCTGTAGTATTCACGTGGATTGGCTGGACGCGGTAACAATTAACCCTGCACTCGCAAGAGCCATTCACTTCCACGTGTTCTCCCTCTCACGCCTCATATATTTGTGTGTGTGTGTGTGTGTGTGTGTGTGTGTGTGTGTGTGTGTGTGTGTGTGTGTGTGTGTGTATACGTGTGTGAAGGCTCTACGGGGCTCCCACTCTGTCCCAAACATCTGCAAATTAACACACTTTCCATGCTCTCTGCTCCGAAAACTGAATTGGGACGCTCCTTTAATTTCTCTCTCTCTCTCTGCCTGTCTCCTTTTAATATTCTTCTAAGGCACACACAAGTAAGAAGATACCAAAATAACCAACCTTTATGCATTCCCGTAAACCTGTCTTTCAGTACAGTGAGTTCGTATATCTTTCCGAATTCCTCAAACAGGGGTTTCAGGTCTTTTTCCTCCAGGTTTCTGGGAATCTGCCCGATGAAAAGCTTGATGGCGTCGTGGTCCTTCATTGGAATGGTGTTCTGGCCGATGGTAAGCCCGTTCATCCTGCCGGCGCTGTTCGTGGTGCTGAATCCATTCTCTTGCTGCACTCCGTTTGCAGTGACTGTAGCCATCTTTCCTCAATGGGCCGGCGAGCTGCTCTCTCTCTCTCTCTCTCTCTCTCTCTCTCTCTCTCTCTCTCTCTCTCTATCCTTCTCCCTCTCTGTAGTCAGCTGCACAGTGCACACTCCCCCCCTCCGTTATATCTTCCTTCTGTCTCCCCACTCCTCCTCCGGTTTTCCCTCCCTACTCTCTCCACTTCCTTTACAGCCTAAGCCCCCCCCCCCCTTGTTTGGAATCAGCCTTATTTATTTGTTCTTATGCTCTATGTGTTTTCATTTTGAAAAGTCCCCCCCCCCAGATGTCACTCTCTCCGTGACGTCAGCTCGTACTCTTATTAAACAGACCCCGCCCACCACCTTATTTGCATAATGAGCGCGGCTGGGCCAATGGGAGAGCAGGCTTAGGGCCCCACAGGGCAGAGTGAGAATGCAAACATTTGTGTTGAGTGGAAAGCTTGGGACATGTAAACGGTGCAAAGGCAGCATTTGTGCTACTTCCCCTGCTTCTGTCAGGTCATTTAGTTTTGTTATAGCAATAAGTTGGGAGATTGGGGATTAGTTTAGGTTTGGTTTTAAAGAATGTATCCATTAAGTTTGCTGATTCATAATTCGAATAAACTGTAATTCTCTTCTCTGTAGACATGTAAGACCATGTTACTATGGTGCCCAGACCTTACTGGGTATTTCTGGTCTGCTGGACTAGGTGTGCTGTTGTTGTTTTTTAGGGTTTTTTTTCTATCCTCTCAGGTAAATGATTGCATTCATTTGGCACACTGGCTATAAAAAAGTCCCTGTCAGATGGTTAGTAAGAAAACCAGCAGGGCTGTAAGACCCGAGGACCAGTCATGAAATACACTGCTGTGAAGCCTTGTAGAAATGTTCTCTCCAGCAATGGTTCTCAATCCTGGTCCCCAGGAGCCAAGGCCCTGCTGGTTTTCATTCTAACCATCTAACAGGGGATATTTTACACCTGGGATGCCAGGTGAATGATATTAAATATCTGGGAGGGTAGAAAACCAACAGAGCTGGGGTTCATGAAGTTACTGTGCTCAACTGGTCTAATTTACTATTTTCTTACTATAGTACATACATAACATAAAATCCTCTTGGAAGGCACTGCCCTGCGAAGAATTGAATGTCAAAACTGTATACGGTAAAAATGGCATCATTATGGACTATCATCTTAGTCCATTTGCTCCAAGTCTTCATATGTGTTATGATCTTTCTTCATGTTTTTTTTTTTTTTTTCTCCAGCATAGCAGTAGAAATTTGGTAAGCTCACTGGTATTTTTCAGATATCAAGCAGATTCATCAGTGGTTTCAAACCTTTCATTCAAAGGGGCGATTTGGGAAAAAATGGAAGCTTGGTCAGGTGTTGGATCAAAGGCATATTTGGGTGAATAATTAAAAAGATAGCAGCATGCTGGAATGCAACACACAGCAGCCTTTGGAGTGTTGCACTATGTAAAAACAAATGTGCTTCTCCTCTACATAAAGACAATGTAAATAGATGGAGAGAAAAGGGAGAGAATAAAACTGACAAATGATGTCAGCTCAAAACTCAGGATGCAGAGCTGCCTTGTGTCACTGTCCATGGTGCTGAATCAACACTGCCATTCAGAGACCGTGAAATAGATTGTTGGAGCTACAATTTTAACAGTACATGTTTGCACTACAAATTTTTCCACGCCCTCTATCTATCTGCTGTGCACAATTTCCAAACTAGTCTGTCCGTTACTTCACACAGGGAATGATGCATTCCACGCCACTCTCTTCAGAATAGTTATTCATGCAATGAGCATGTGCACTGCCGGTGTTGTATTATTCGCTCAGCGTATTCTGTACACAGAAAGGTTTAATTAGTGCAGATGGGACTATAACATCAATACAAGGGCAGTCCAGCTCATACTGATATGAGTAATTATGCTTGATATGACTGCATTTATGTGGATTATATCATGTTATCAGTAATCAATTATACTGTATATGGCAAATTTATCATGAGAATTGCAATTAAGAGCTGCACTGTAGCATATACACTAATAAGATCTGCCCTGTTTAAGTGTCTTTCAGCAAGACATGGAGTCTCTGATACCTCCAGAGGTGTTGTTCTGTAACTGAGCCTGACCTCTGATCCCCTTGTGGAATTGGGAAAATGGAGAGAAAACGCATCTTCAGGGATCAGAGGAGGATCACAAAAAACTCCATGTCTACTACTGAAATGCATTCAACCGACACGCTTAACCTCTGTTAGGTCAGAATTAATTGGCTAGTAAAAAGATGTAATTACATAATAGTTGTTCTGTTGCTTCTGCTAATTAGTAGAATAACGCTTCCTCACAAGAATATTTAACATCTCAACTGCCATATCTATCTATCTATCTATCTATCTATCTATCTATCTATCTATCTATCTATCTATCTATCTATCTATCTATCTATCTATCTATCTATCTATCTATCTATCTATCTATCTATTGTTATTGCATTCACATAGATTGAAAACATCTTTGTCATGAAACATTAAACAAAAACAGCGTTTCCCATGAGTCCATAATTGAGCTGACCAGTTTCTTTCCCCACCAATTGCAAATTTGACATTTGAATGTCTTCTCAGTGAGCTACTAAGTGTTTATGTTATCACAGCAGCATTCTTATCTATCACAAATAGACAACAGGGTGGCCACCTTTTCCAAAAAATATCTAACAGTATGATAAGCACATACTTTTGTTGTGGGTCACCACGGTGGGAAGTGTCACAATGTACCCAATGAACTGTTTTGGTCACTGGGTAGTAGAGAAGTCAGCTTTGATAGATTATGTGCTGTTCACTTTGCAGGCCCCTGCATGTGCATGTGCATGTGCATGTGCGTGTGCGTGTGCGTGTGTGTGTGTGTGTGTGTGTGTGTGTGTGTGTGTGTGTGTGTGCGTGTGTGTGTGTGTGTGTGTGTGTGTGTGTGTGTGTGTATGTTCACCCCTGATGTCTGTCAGATTGAATGGTCTTTGGGGATAGTAGTATTCTGAGAGCAACTAACAGTAACATCTGGCACTGCATTGGCTTTGTTATGAATATTTATTTATTTTCTATTTAATCATGTCTTTGTAGACCATCTCAAAAAAATCCTGCTGAGTTTTTTTGCTCTGAATGGGGATCAAAAACACAACGGGCCTCCCTTGTCAATACCATCAGGGCCATTCTTCCCCACAAAGACACAGCTAATTTAGCGTCAGCGCTGCTTATTGGCTTTGTGATTTTTGTTTCCTTGTTTTTGTCATTTCTCCGCGGGATAGTTTGCCTGCACAGCTGCGAAGACTTGGAAACTGCCTGGCAGGAGGAAATGCAGGTACTGCATGATCTCTTCAATTATGCCTGTGTGTAAGCATCCTCTTTGTTCGAACACAGGCAAGCGTATCAGAAAGGTTGACAGGGTTCTTCTTCTTGTCTGTGCCAAGCTCAGCACCTGGATGGTTGCACATGCACCTCTGCCGATTGCTCTCCTTGCTGACAGAAGAGCAGTCAGAATAGTTCCAGCTGTGTTTGTGAAGTGGGTATGAACTTGCAAGAAGAGCAACACAGAAGAAAATAAGTCCCTCAAGGATCTTGCACACCTAGAGACACATTTCACTCAAATTATTTTCTTGTTATTTCTGGATGGAAACTGTATTTGTCCATTAGCAATGAGCGAGGATTCTCTCTTACTACGCCAACTAGAATTGTAATCGATGGGGCGGGGGTGTGAACATGGCAAATGTGTCAGCAAAATAATTTCTAGAATAATGCAAAAAATATTTACCCTGAGTATATCCCACACAGTACAACTGCTATTTTCCAGTCCTGAGCAAGTGCCATTTCTGTTTTTATCACCAAAATTATTCACACTACTGTCAAGGTGACTTGTTGGAATGTCACAGCCACACAACTTGAAACAACTACCAAACATATAGTCCCTTGAAGGAGCAAAATCAGTGACATAAGTCATGCATTGTGCATAACAGCTTGGTGTCATACACAATTCCTTCATAATGTGTGTTCATTATCCCATTAAACTGGATATATGGAGTGGGCCAGGTGGAATGTAGTCATGCATGAACATTTTTCACTGTCTGTTTTGTAGAGTGAGTCCAAAAGAAGAGCAACCATTGATATTCATGGAACAGCCGGTATGAGGTGTGACAGTATTTTTTGTGAATCTGTGAGTGTATATGGTAATACCAGAGCAGCCTCAAACCGTCTCTGCCTAAAGGAGGGGCACACTGTTCCCCCCACACAGGCACTGCAAGATAAAGAACCACTCACTCAGAAGCCATAATTTTCTCTTAAAACACAATTTCTTGCCAGTTCATTTGCTTCTGTGCTGTAGGGAAAATGCGGGAGTGATTGTTGGTCTAGGCTGAACAGTGTTTTTGATGAATTAAGTTTTGCTTATTTTTATTTAGAAAAGGTGGATTACATCTCTATTTTCCCTTTATGGGTGATGTTTCGTCTGTGCTGCTGTTGATGTACTGTTGAATGATAAGCAGGCATCTTGCTGCATGTTTAAGTTCACTAGTGACGCAAGGAAGGGAATAAATGAGAGAAAAACAAATAAGAGGTCAGGGAGACCACAATGAGTCATCCGCTTCTTGGCAGCTAATGAATCCCAGAATACTCTGTGCAGGCCTCCCTTGAGTACACTCACATAGGTTTTTACTTCCATTGCGATTCCACTGCACATGCAGTATTTTACCTTTTGCTAGGTGTTAACTGTAGATCAGTGTATGTGTATACTATGCCTCTGAAGCTTTGTTGCTGGTTGGTTGAAATTATCTAATTATTTATCCCTCAACATTTAACAGAGCATTTAAAAAATAAGGGATGTAACCAGTGGTAGGTTTAAGGTCACTGAGGTCATTTTGTGATCTTGTAAAAAAAAAAGTATTTGTTGCTAAGATTGCAAGTATTGCTGATGTGCCCACTTAAATTGCACTAGATTCCAACAAAAAACTGCAATACTGACTGTGCAGCTCAATGATGCTCAGGCAAGTTTTGTGTGTACTGTGTGTGGGTATGTGGTGTTCGGGGCACATACATGCACACACACCCTTGCCTCTCACTCCCCGTCCCTTAGGCTGTTGTTACAAAACTGATGTCACTTTTCTGTCAACCTAGA